AAAGGAAGCTCCTGCCAGAAGTCCATGAGCACATAGTGACTTCAGGAGTCACTCACCTGGCTGCCAAATCCCCAAAAATCTCATTTGTGAGCAAATCAGACAAGTCAGTGGTGCTTCCAAATACACTCGCAATAGGGAAGGCAGCCACGTGAACAGGAAAAAATCCCTGTGGCTTTGTCCGTTGCTCGGCACAGGGGCATCTTGCTGCCATGGGGCTCGGAGGAAAGGTGGGTGCAGGGCACAGCAGTGGGTGGCTGAGCCCAGCCAGCAGCTATGCCACCCGCAGTGCTCGGGGATGGCTCGGTGCACTGCGGTTTGCCAGGGCACGCTCCCAGTTGCACGCAGGGCTTGCTGGTGAGCCCGAACAGGTATATTTTTATTACCCACTTCTTCCATAAGCTTGTCATCACCTTATGTAAGAGTTTTGCAGAATAGTTAGTTAGTAAGAAGCAAATTGCCTGCCTGTCCTTGCCCTGGGCTCCAGGCCATGAGGCTCTGGTCCAGTACGCGCAGGGATTTGCCCTGTGTTTCCCACAGCTTGCTAAGGCATTGCTGACAGCTACAGCCGGTAAGGTCGGTACAAGCCAAGGCCTGAGCACGTGGCCTTTGAAGAGGTGTGCCCTGAGCCACCGCGCTCTCTCCCACCCACAGGCAGTGCTTCCACTCACTGTTGCTGAAACAGGGCACAGATCCTCCCCAGACTACCCTCAGCTGATCTCCTCCTCCAGGTCCAGTGTAGGGATTGCATAACGCTGGCAGGGGGAGGAACACAGCACGAACATCAGGTACCAGCAGAATGGTGCAAGGAGAGCAAAAGCAAAGCATCTGTAGTTTGCAAAGGCAGCTGGTTCGGGTAGGAGGGCGGCGGGAGGAGGCTGGATGGGCAGGCACTTTTCAGCATGGAGCTGCACTCGCTGCTCCTCCCCACGTGCTCCAGCGCTGCTGGCTGTGTCATGGAGCCCTACTGTTGCAAATCCCAACTATGCTTTTTTCCAACCTAATTTTCTCAGGAACTGACCCAGTTCTAGCACTCAGGAACTGGCATTCACCCTACTGGCAAATGTTTTTCATCTGTTTCAAATGAACTGTCCAGCGTGACCTTTTCTGCTTAAGCAGCTTACACAATGAAAATACATGAATGTAAAATCTTGCATAACTCTGAAAGCAGGGCCATACATTTACCAGCAGCAAGGGACTTTTTTCCCTCATCCTTTGCAGAAAGTAAGAAGGGAACAGCCAGCACTGTGCAATTGCAGTGAAGGGAGAGCTCACCCATAACCCCCTCACCCCCAAAATTCACAGGGCGCTCAAGGCAACAGGGTTCGTACATCCCATTTCTGCTGCTTTTTGCTTCGGAAAGATGAAAAGCAAGGGGCTGTTTACCTGTTCAGTGGTCTCCAACCACAGGCAAAGCCCCCACGGCCTTCTGGGGCTGTTTCCCAACTGAATGCCACCGCAGATCAGGACAGTGGTGGTTCCCCACTTAAGAGCTCCCCTTGGCACCCAACAGGACTAACTGGTCTTCATAGTCTGAGTGCTCTTCCTCGCTCTCATCTCTGTTTTCAAAGCTGTGGTCTCACCCAACACACAGCAGTTGGTGTCTGTTCTGGGAGACAGTTGCTATAACAGATGTATGGGATCACTTCTTAGCATAGCAAAAAGTAAAAAGGTTCTGAAATTTTGTGCGCAACTGCCTTGAAAGTTCAAAAAGTTCAAAAGTGTGAAGGATAGTCATGCTCTTCTCATTGGCACCTACCTTCACAGCATCTTATTGGAGCTAGAACCAAATAGCTACGGCATGATAGGAATGGCTTCACACCTGAAAACTGACCGTGCCTCCCCCAGGTCTGCACGGCCATCGCAGCAGGCTGGCAGCGCTGCCCTGCCTGAGGACATCTACCCGTGTGCGCACAGTGAAATGAAGAGGATAGCTGGCAGGTGGAAAGGGGCCTGATCCTGCGTTTGCTGCTCCAAAACATTCCCATTCACTCCAACTGGGAAGCAACAACACATTCATTCGGGCACCAATTCAAACAGCAATACCATAAGTCTTGTACAGGTGCTTACAAGAGAGTTTTCTTCCTAACGAGAAGCATTCCTTCAGCTCCTGATGCTGTTTTTCATGTTCTTAGTATGTCTGAACTGTTTCTCAATATGCCTAAATTTGGCCATGGGAAGATGGCCCTCAGCCACAGCCTGTTGCTTGTCAGGGCATGTGCACCACAGCTCCACTCTTTCTGAAACATCCGCTCCTGGAGGGGATCTGCGGCAACCAACTTCCCTCGACTCACACAAGGCAACATGGAGATGACCCACCCATGTATTACTGGTCATGACCCTGACTAATCAAAGCACAGCAACAGGAATCATGAGATGTTTATTCAGCAAGACGTATTCAGTACCAGAGCTCTTGCCTGGGGCAAACCAGGTGTGGTTGAAGCAGAAGTTGAAGGGAGGGCTCGCAGGGTGGTGCAGGGAAGGAGGGATGAAGTAAATGGTGACAGGCAAGGCTATACAAGGGTCGTGTTGACCAGCTGCACTGATGTGCCTAGCCCACAGGAGAGGAGCAAGGGGATGGATAATTTTATGTATTTCCTGCAGAGCCCCGAGAGGCAGGAGCAGCTGGACTGGCTCTGGAGCCAGCAAGCTCGGGAGGAGGCACTGCGGTGGGTCAAACCGGGGCTGGCCCCAGGGGGCCACCGGCCGGAGCCACATGGGCCAAGGCGCTGTGTGGGGCCACCGCTTGCAGGTGCGGGGACAGCTGTGGCCTGCTGCGAGGGGCTCAGGCAGCCTCCGGCAGACAGCCTGCACTCATTATGCCATTTGGTTTTCATTTTAATGAATGATTTAAGAATTTCAAACATACCTTTGACCTACTTGAGCACAGTTACAGCAACAATTAGCACCAACACCTCATAAATCCCGTCAATGCTTTCTCTGGTGCTAGCTTAGTAAAGCCTCTGATCGTGCGGAAAGTGCCATAACATTGCAATGTGGCATCTGATCCCTGAAGAGAACAGATCAGCCTCTTTAAAAACCTCCACATTTCTACAAAATGCAAAGTTTTGAGCAGAGCAGCCATGAGGCTGCTGAGGAGCTCGGCACTCCCGTGCACTTAGAGGTCCAGGTAAGAGCACTTTGCTGGTTTTAAATCTTTCTGCGTAAACCTTTGTTTATTTTTTACTCACCTCGTGAAAACATGTGAGTATGTTAAAATTAACTCTATTGGAAATGTAAAAAGTTTCCTCCACTAGCATTCATGGGTAGTCCTTGGATGCTGTTACTCACCAGCTGTGAGTTATAGCTGCTGCTTTTCCCAGCTCTGTAAGCCAGCTCTCCTTATCTTTGCATCCTTGTACTGAATTATGAGACCTTTCCGAGGCAGCGGCTTATGCATGCAGCCAGGTTTGTACTGACACAGGTTTTATGTCATGTTCAATATGTTAAGAAGTAATTCTGGTCGTTTCTTCTGACTGGAACTTCTCCATATGTTCTCATTTCACAGTGAAACAGAAAAATTACTGGTATTGCTTATACTTATGTGATGGACTCGGGGAGATCTGATATTAATTTAAATTAGTTAAATTTAATTTTAATTTTAAAATTAGATGTTAAAATTGTTGTGTATTTTTAATTGCTGCCATGTGTTGCCAGTTAGAATTTCTGGTTAGTTTAAACTCCCCCCTGCCCTCCCAGCACAACCTGTCTCCTCCGGCTCCCCTGAGCCACTTCTTCTTCAAATGATGGGGTTTTTGTTGGCCCCAACCCTCAGATTTCCCAAGGTCCCTCTGACTTGAAGCTCTGCCATTCAGCAGACCCCCAATTTTGTATTGTCACACCACAGCCACGGGTGCTGAGGAGTAAGCAGCCACGCTACAGTATGACTTGGGCGTCCACCTTTTATAGCCAAGGCTCCAGGGACAATGTAAAGTGAGTTTGTAATCTGAAAGGCGTGCAGTGATGCATTGTATGTTCATGTAGATGTTGCCATGTTCTTACACAAGCAGAGCTCAAGCAGTAGCCTCCAACTTTCAGAAAGATTGATATCTATATCTATATGTAAACTATATGATCTCTCTCTCTCTCCCCCCATCTCTATCTAATCTATACCTATACCTGTATTTATATGTAAAAATTTAAGAATATATATATATATTCTTTTTACCTGTAATCCATGTGCATTCTGGCATAGGGAAGCAGGCTGGGCTGGTGTGTCCGTAGGCAGCGATTCCTACCCACCTTCAGCATGAAGTCTGAAGGAAGGAGAAGCCCCCTCTGGAAACTCTGCTCCTCTCTCCCTCTCAGTGCCCATCTTCCCTCCAGCAGATCTGCTCAGGAAGAGAAATCTGTCCTCTTCAAAAGTTATCATGACAATTAAGATGACTTCTCACAAGCATTCCTACCATTTCTTTTTTTGTTGGAGGGCGAATTGGAAAGGAAATTCTCTCTCTGCCTTTTTTTTTTCTTTTTAGTCACCAGATCCTGAAACACGAAAGCCAAAAGCACTGCTGACAGTTGCATGAGCCATATCTGTTTATCACATAAGGCAAGGCTCAGGCATCCTGTGTTGTTTTTTTTCTTTCAATGAAAATGTCATTGTTCTGGGTTGCTTCCTATGGCAGGCAGGTCAGTCGCTGAGCTGTATCACTCTTAGCAGCAGACATCTTGGTGACTGAAGTACAGGCTGACGTGCCTTTGGAGAATGTGCTCAGCTAGCCAGAAACAATTTCAAATGAGGCCAAAGTCATCCATGTGTTGCCATCCCCAAAAGTTGTTACAAAAAAAAGGACCTCTGGGAAATGATTAATCAGACTTTGTAAACGAGTAAAAAGGCGCTTGTTGTCAGTGCTCGCCCTGCAGAGGGAATGCCAGGGCCCCACTGATGCACTGAAGCCTTTCAACTCCGCTTTATTTCTCCAGCCTCCTTGCACACGTGCCGTGGGACCGCTTTTCTGACGCCGCACACCTTCCAGCGGGAACCCCTGACGTTCTCCCTCTGAATGGCTCTCCAGCAGCTTTACACTCTCTCCGTGGCGCTGGTGTGGGGCTGCGTGGCATCCTCCTCGTACCACACCACAGGTAAAGCTCTGCATGCCTTTCGTGTCGCTGCCTAACGCGTGTTTCACGTTAACTCAGACCCTTTATGAAGTTAGTCCTTCGACCAAAGCTTTTCTTGTGTGTGTTACAGCGAGTGGCTGATTTATAAACCTGTAATCAATTGTGTAAATATATTGTGTGTTTAGTGGATATTTTTCTGAGTAACTTCAAAAGGAGCAGAAACTGCCTTTGGTGCACAGCGAATATATTGTTTGATATAGAGTTACCAAATATAAATACCACTTGGATGCATAAATGCTCCTGAGCGTGGTCCCAGCTGGACAGACTGTGCTAGGTGTAACAAACACAAAGCTTATTCATAATCGGGGAATAATACTTTCTTCTAAAAAAATGTTGCTCTGCAAGCTATCATCCATGGCAATGGCACTTCAAGTAACCTTTGCTTCAAGCCCTTGAGCAGCTCTTTGCTGCACCGCGCCAGCCAGCCCCAGCCTCCGGTAGCTGGGACTTTGTACCCCAAAGCTTTCCTTCTTCAGAGAGACGGCAAGTGGGTCTGGCTCTCCCTGCTGCAGCCAGTGCATGGTGGAGAGGTGACAACTTGGCCAGGAGGGCACTGAGAGGCTCCCGGTGCTGCCAGCCAGCACGCACGGAAAGCTGCCAGCAAACATGTTGCTGCCGTGCCAAGCGGCATGCCAAACATTGCCTTTAAAACGGGCTTCTCAAAACACAAAAGTCACCCCCACCTCTCTGACCAGCACAGAGAAGTGCAGACATAGACAATATGGGGGGCACCTGGCAGACTGCCATTTTTCCACTGGCAAAATAGGCAGAAAATTGCAAAATCTCCTGCTGCTTGCACCACCTAAGGCACTGCACGGTGTGGGGCGAGGCAGTGGGAGGCAGCTGGGGATAAGCAGGGAATTCGTCATCAAAGCTGCAATGTTCAAGCGAGCACGCACGGCAGCCAGGAGCGGGTGGCCGTGAGGGCGGCGGCCGTCTAGCCAGCACATCGCTACCTGACTCACCACCATGCAAATCAGGTAGAGAAGTTGGGGTTTTTGGGTTTTTTTTTTTGCAAGAAACATTCAGGAGCAGCTTTCCTTCAAGACTGGATAACAAAATAGAGTATATCTAGTCCTGTGTTCTGTATGAATGATGGGAGTAAGACTGGTTTGTCATGTAATATTGTGAAAATGAGAAACTACAAGAGACAATGCTGACATTTAAAAAAACAATCAAATCCCAGAATGCAAACCACATCTCAAAAAGAAGCTTTTCAGCTTTTCCATTCCCTCTGAAAGCCAGTCAAAATTTATTTTGCAAGAATTGCTCTTTACAGTTGCAATTTTTTTGAAAAAATATTACTGTTTTGTTCAAGCTCAGGATGGAAATAAATTTCAGAGCGTTACAATTTCCAGTCAGAAATTGTTTTTGACCAATCTAATCCTCTCTTGACTGCTTATCATCAGGCTCATGACAAAGACTAGTAGCTTTTTGCTTCCTTGTTTGCATAGCTGCAAGGCTCAGCATTTATCTGCTCAGGAGGATCTTCCCGAGCGCAGGAGAGTCCAGCTCGCAGGCCTGCCAGCAGATCTCCTCAGCCAGCCTGTTATGGAAATCACACATGCCAACCACCACACCAGGGTTCGACTCTAGGACACAGTGCGCTGGCAATGTGGAAGCCCTCCGTCACGCAGCCCTGGCAGGCTCAGCCTGGGCTGGCCGGTGGGAGGAACACCCCTTTGCCTTCTCCCCCCTCAGCACAGCTATAACTGGCCCTTCTGGACAAGCTACTCATTCATTTTTTCAGCAGCTGCAGCTCTTCACACACTGGTCCCACAGACTTGCTGTCCCCCACGCTGCTCTTCCCTTTCCTGGAGCCTTTGCATGTTTGTGAAGACCCAGGAGGTGGGTGAGATGCCCTCACCTCACCCCTGTTCCCACCTCTGATGCCCACCAAGAGCCCAGCTTGAGCACTCTTTGCACAGGCAGAGATGCCCGTGCCCCTATTCCCTCTCCTCTGCCCATGCTGGGAAATCTGTGCCTGTTGTAGCATAGTGATGTCAGACCCTCACCTCCTGCTCCCGCTGCTGGGGCTGCTGAACACAAGGTACTGCACATGCAGGGCCATGCCCTGTTGCCCCAGGAGCTGGAGCAAGCCCACCAACCCTCTCTGAACCCAGGCTGTATTCATGAGACTCACAGTTGGTGGGAGGGAGGGTGTTTTACTTGTTACACACAAAAATACATAAAATCTAGTTTTTCTCCAAATTATTATAGTCCGTTGTTCCTTGCCCCAGCACCTCCCTAAAGACATTGCCATGATAGCCTACTTTGCCATCTAACGTAACAACAAATCTCCTATGGAGCTTTCCATGCTGGGAAAAGTGGGATCTTAAGACTCGTGCCTGTGGTGTGTTTCATTTGGGAGAATTTGCTCAGAAGAAATAAATCCTCCAATGATGTTCTCTGCAAACTTTCCAAGGAGCACATTAAAGTTTGATTTATATCACTGTCTTCCACTGAAAGATATTCTCAGGGTCTGCTTTCATGTTGGATTTATTAAAAGAATAAAAGGAAAAAATGGTGTAAATCCTGACGAAGACATGAAAAAGGTGGCAGAGAAGCCCATGACCGGAAGGCCAGACTCAAACAGAGAAGTGGTGGCAATGCTGGACTGACACTGTCAGGAGATGGGATCCAAATCACCATGAAAAAAGTGTATCATGCAGTGAATACGTAGAAACCCAAATGGATAACCTCACCTCTAGACAGTGGAGAAAAATGAGCTTAGATGTTACAAAAATTGACTTCATTTGAACTAATAAAACTGAAGAGCCAAAGAGCTTTCATCATGTGAATGACAGCTCCATGCAGAGCTGGGCTTTTAGGAAGCATGTCTTAGTATGGAATTCATCCATATTATGTGCTGATTTATTGACATATGGCAGCACCTTACAATAGCTTAATAAAAGCCAGATTGACTGTAAAAGCACCTTTTTGTATAGCTGATAGATGTCCAAAATAAGACTGATTTTAACTCTCTCCTTTTCTGCTTCTGTATGTTTTTTGTCTTGGTTTTTCATTAACCTTTAATATACTTGAAAGCAATATGGGCGATTTGTGTCTGATATGGTTAAGGAATAAAAGTTTCCCTGACAGCATGCTGTGATCTGTCAGCCTGTGTTGGTATAAGTGCCCAACACAATGTTTGCAAGGATACTTGTCCTGACAGTCGGTAAATATCCTAAGTTAAAAGTAAGCAAATATAGGACTTGAAAGGTCATCCCAGGACAGTAGTTTTGCTTGAAACTGTTTGAAGAAGAGTGTCAAAGATGTGGCATTCTTTGTGCCTTTTCAATGGCCCTTGAGTGTTTTCTCTGAGCATCAGCAAAACCTGTTTTTTTGGGTGGTGGGCAGGAGAAGAGCTTGTGCATGTTCGTTGAGAACAGGCTATTAAATGGCCAGGGCTGGACCCGGCCTGGCAGCGCTTCCCTCCACATCCAGCAGCTGCATTTGCCATCTCATCAGATTTCACGACTTTTTTTTGTTTTCTTTACATGGACACTCTGTTTTACCCCCTGCTTTGTTTTCGATTTAGTTGCTCCCCCGCAAGACCTTCAGATCACGGATCCTGGACTCTTAGGTTCTCTCGATATAGAGTGGAAACCTCCACGCAATGTACAAACCTTCAACGAATGCACAGTAAAATACAGGTTTGAATACCGCAACACCGGTGACAGAGACTGGAAGGTAAGATAAAGCACAGTTTAATCCTCTTAAATCCAGGCTATTGTTCTGCCTTTAGTTACTTCACAGGTTTATGTTTGCATTTCAAAAATGAGTGTTACCAAAGCAGTTCCAGCTGTCCATGAAAAAGCCAGACTGTTCCAGTGGTTTGAATCTTTTGCCAGATGGGAATGTGTTTTGAAATGTAACAGCAGCAGCAGTCCGAGAAGGGGCTATTTCTGTCAGAGGGTGTGGCGCTTGCTGCCAAAAATAATCCAATAATAGCTAGTAGCATTACTCATTGTAAAAGACACTACACTTTTTAGTAAGTCTTTACGGGGCTTGAACTGAAACTCCATGTCAACAGACCCTTAGAGGTGCAAAGTAGTGAATAAATAAGAGATTAAACTTCATTAATTATCCTAATGCTCTAACATTCCCTTTATCCAGAAGAGTGTTTCTAATACCATTTACTTTTGTCTTTTAGATATGGTTGGCTCTAACTCAGCCCTATGATAAAATTGTCAGTCTTCTCTCGTTGATGTGTAGCAGGGCAATAGCAGACAGGTACAGTACAGGAAGGGCTGCAGGAATATATTTTGGGAGTGCTTAGCAGATGAAAGCTGCTGCAGGGCTAGGAAGGTAAATGGAGTGGGGAGAGGAGAAACCCAGCAGTAGGCTGTTTGGTTGGTGCAAGGTACCGAGGAACACATCAAAAACACACTGAGGATGTCCCCCAACAACAACCCAAAATACAGATTAGTGTCCTGAAAGAAAGTGAGATATTTTTTGCACAGCCCTAAAGCAAGAGTGCTAGAGAGCTTGCCAGCTCAAGAAACCAGGGAGAGAGAGAAGGAGCAGTCACATCGGGTTAGCAGTGCTGTGGTCCCCGGCCTTGCTGTGAACAGTGTCCGCATGTCCTGCGTGAGCTGGTCATCTGCTTCATCCACCCGAGGCAGCAAAGCCAAGGCTGCCGGGCTGCGCTCAGCCACCATGCAAACGGGTTTTGGCCCAGCCGTCCTACAGGAGCCTGCAGAGGTGGAAGAGTGCGGTGCCTCCCACCCTGTTTCAGCTATGGATTGCAATCACAAGAGCATGGAAAGGGACTCTTTGACCTGACATTGGTCGTGATGCACATCACACTCCCAGCCATGCAGCAGCATACAGCTGCGCAGATTCTTCTATGATTATTTTAACTGGCATTTAAAAAGCATAAAGGAAAAAAACATGTTTTAAAAACCACATCAGAATTCCCTAAATCACAAGTAATAAAAGTGTCTTCTAAAAGGCAGATCTAGAAAGTAGAAAAAAGGTCACGTGGTACCTTGCCAAAACCCCAGATAAGGTCACGGAGAACAGTCAGTCTGAAAAAAAAAATTCCATGAGACGTCAGTGGAAGCAAGAGTCATCGATGTCTGTTAGAAACACAGGGCTCAACACAGCTCTGACACTCTGGGACTGCTGACAAAAAGCCTGACTGGGGGCTGTGCCATTGCAGTTCCCACTGCCAGCATGCGCATGCATTTTACGGCACGTTACTTCTCTCCTGCTTGGGCTAATGCGACACCTTCTCTCTCGCCATGTGTTGTAACTCTTGCCAACTTATTTTTCCCTTGTGTAAAGTAAGGGGGAGTAAGTTTGAGGAAAAAAGAAAGAAAAACCTCCAGAGGGGTTGCTCAAAAAGTCCTGCAAAGGGCTAAGCCCAGCAGCACGCGCCGGTGAGGCTGCGCTGCGCTGCCTTGGCTGCTGCTCCGTCCTTGCAGGGTGTGGTTGTACTTCCCATGGGAACCATCCATTACAAGACTCGTTGTTCCTTCTGTTTCTGATGATCTCACATGACGAACATGTGCCTTTTATCTGGCTTTACGGCAGTATCCTCGTCAGACCCTGCCCCGTGCTCCGGGCTGATGGGGATCCCTTGAACCATAGTCTGCACTGTCTTGTCATTGCTGGTGTCCTGTGGGGTGGAGGGCCTCAAAGCCAGTGAGGCTGGACAGAGCAGGTGGTACAAGCGTGCTGGAGAAGCACTGGGCAGGAGAAGCAGGACAGAAATGTAAAGAAACGTTAAAGCACACAAACGAGCCTACTCACAGCTAGGGATGGAGCAATGGTAGCTAATTCTGCAGCCCACTTAGCAACAAAAGAGGTGCTTATAAAGTCTGTCTTTCAACCAGGTTATTTTTACTAGGAAGCTAAAATTCAGAGTTGGATTTGACCTCAGCAGGACTGCTGAAGTGAAGGTACAGACACTACTCGAAGGACGGTGTACCAATGACGTGGAGGTGCAAAGTGACTGGATTTATGCTACCTTTCAGGTCCCATGGCAAGGTTAGGAGCAGCCTTCGGTACCTCGTGCGGTTTTGCACTTTGCATGAGCCTGTTGCATGAACCACTGCTGGCCTGAGGGTTGCTGGATGGAGAAGTCATTGCGGGGCTTGTTGAGGTATAAGATACCATCTGCTTCCACTGGCTGTGGCTGTGGTTACTGGATACTGGGGGCTTATTGCCTCTGCCCGTACCCTGGCTCTGCTGGGTTGCCCTGCATGAGCTCCACTGCTGAATGAAAAGCTCAGTTGTGCATCTTTGTGCTCTAAGTACAGTGACCTGGCTTTTACAGGAACCAGAGCACTTGACAGCAAAACTATCTAATAACGGTGACTGGCCTTCTTCTTTTTTCCTTTTTTGTCTTTCAGCTGCAGCACACAATTGTTCAAAGACGTAAAATGATGTTTCTGCTGAGCCTGACTGTTTACGTTGCTAAACAGTGGTTATTTCCTTCTCATTTGACAGGAAAACTGGAATCAGAGGTTCGGAATTTCCACTGCATCTATCATGACTGGGAATACCTCAAGTGCACTTGGCAACCAAGTCGTCTTGCTCCTCGTGGCGTACGTTATGGACTATATTATTGGTATGTATCAGCAAAATAGAAAGACATCCAGGCAGCAATCAAGTGAACCTCTCAGGGTACTAAAACGCCATGGCAAATATGCCTTTATGGCTGGCAATGCTATTACACAATCCACTCAGAATGAGCAGAAATAACGCTCCAAGCAACAAGTGCCTTCTGGCAAGGAAATACCAAATCCCCACTTCCTTCCTCAAAATCAGGCTCGTGCTAACTTTCTACAGGGAATGCCTTCTCCCTTCGTCCTTTCCCTTTTATTCACCTCCCATGGAGTGCTTTCTGTATGTTGTCCATCACAAAGCCTTGTGTTTTCCCTTTGCTGAACGTACATGGATCGTTCTGGCTGCCCATTTCCCTTGGTCACAGTGCATATATCTCCATAGCACAGGATTCAGCAAGAGGTTACCAAGCTCAGTGAACCCTATAGAAAGAGCAGGCCTTCTTGGCAACTAGAAGTTTTACTCTTCAAATATATTTTCATAGCCTTAGCACATCTCATGCAAGCAAACATGCTGCCAAAAGGTAGTAGTAATGCATGTTTCTCAGTTGTTTCTTATATACTGCAGCCTAATGATTCTGTTCTGCAAGAAAAACAAAGCTGAACTTAGTGGTTTTGGACAAAGGAAATGCTGTATTTGTGCTTCAATTCCTATGATACTATGGTAAGGATGACTAGTTAGGAAGTCATTGAGTTTCATGCCTTTGGGCCATGTGTAGAAAACGATAGCTGCTTTTTAAAAATAGTTTCTATGTAGCTCTTGGAAATAGTCTTCAAAGCAGAAACACTGATTTAAAACCATTTTGCTAACTGAAAAGGTCTGCTTGAAGGAAACCATGGAAATTCATGATTCGTTCCTAAAAAAAAAAAAAAAACCAACACAAAAAAAACCCAACAAACCCACCCTTATTTTAACTGCCTGTAACAAACCCAAGCATTCGGATCTGGGTCCCATCATGTAATGAAGGTGGGTCAGAACACAGCCATAGCATCCTTTGATTCCTGTAACTTAATTTTTATAGCACTACCACATGAAACTTTTCTCTGAAACATAATGTGCTGTGCAGGGAGCCTTTCATTAGGTGTAGAGTACAGAGGGTGGATTCAGCCCTGCCTCAAGGGCACTAACCCAGCAGGAGTCTTAAAAAGTAATATGAAACGCCACTTGGTATTTCCAGGATGGGGCCAGCAGCTAAGCTTTGGGGAGTGGCCCCCAGAGACAGGAGGCAGTTTGAGAGGACAGGGTTGTGGTTGCACATTAGCTAATAACGAGCAAATCCCTTCCTAGCTCCCACCCCTGGCTTCCATTACCTGCCCATGTAGATGCACAGGACCTACCCGCAATCAGCTGTAGCAGCTCGTTAACACTCATTACATTCATGGCACACATCACCTGCCACAAACCGCTGCATTTTGGCTTGGGAGGGGACCTTTCTGCAACTCCAGAGTTGGTGGCTGATGGTGCCATAAGTGCCCCATGGGAGGATGGTTGCCTCCCTGAGTAGGGGCCAGATCCTGCCCTGGCTCCACTCACACAGTGGTGCCTTGTTGAGGTCTCTTGTGCTCTGGGAATGGGCTTGGGGAGAGGCTGGCACAGCCTACAAACCAACCTGGCAAGACATCTGTGCATGTTAATTTGTTTTTTTCTCCTCCCCATCCTTTTCCTATAGCAGGAGTCCAGGTGACCAATGCATAATAACACTGTGCTTTGGATCACTTGTGAAAGGCAAAGACTGGGTAGGATATAGGTGATACTCAAGGCTTAGGTCCAATCAAAAAAAAAAAGCCTTACCCAAGTAGTAACTGCCATTGCTTTCATTATTTTTTTCTTTCTGTTTTCCTAATACGCTGCTAGGTATGAGGGGCTGGACCACGCAGTGCAGTGTGATGACTATATTCAGGATCACGGTATAAACATCGGCTGCATGTTGCAAAATCTGACCCAGGCAGAATATAAGGATCTGAGCATTTGTGTCAATGGTTCGGCGGCAGCCACTCTGTTACGGCCATTGTACGTCACCCTTCGCCTTCACAACCTAGGTAACACCGGCAGGAAAGCAGCAGGGCTCTGGGGATCCACACGGCCACCACGCACCCAAGGCTTACGTCTTGCATAAGGGGGCTCAAACAAATGTGCGCTCTTGTAGATGGGTGGCTGTAATGTGTCTGGGTGGATTTCCCATGGAGAAGGGGCTATGGCACGTGCCACACAGGACTTTAGTTTCCAGCAGTGTTTGCAGGCAAGCAACACTACTCTGCACCCACCCTGGAGGGTCAGTGGGTGCCTCCAAGTGCTGCGCTCGGCAGCTGGACAACTCAGGACATAAATGGTCTGCTGGGCAGATGGCAGAGCAGCTATGGGTTTTTTGGCTCTTGCAGCACTGCCACAGAGGTGGCTTCATTTACTCCTGGAATTGAAACCGCTGCTCCACTCCTGCAAGCACAGGAGAAATCTTTGGGCTTTGCTGTTCAAACCAAGCTAAGGGCTGGGGAGAATTGAGTGCAAGGTGTGATGGGGTCTGCCGGAGCAAAGGTGGATTTCAAAGCCATTAGAGACAGGGAAAGGAAGCAAAGGATGGCATGATGTATAACCCAATACACGCACTCGCTCTTTGTTATGGGCACTTACCATGCTGATGCATTTACCCACGTGTAAATGTTAGGGGGACAAATAGCCAGTCCTCCAGTTAAGCCACTGGGCTAATAAGCAGGATTTCTGGATTCAATTAGTGCTGCCATGTGCTTCATGTGTGGCTTTGGGCATCTGACATAAACCAGAGCCTCTCCTGGGATGCAGAGAGTACCGGGCAAACCCTGCGGTATCTCACTGCAGGGGCTGAGGCTGCCCTCGCAGCACAGGGAGGGCCAGCCGGCCGCACTGCGAGTGGAACGTGCCGACCACAATGCTCAAGCCCCAGCATTTCAAAACCCCTGCACCACAGCCCAGAGCGAGGACCTAGCCCAGCCCACATGTCAAGTTAAAATAAACAACCCACCCTCTAGCCTCAGTGACATCCTGCTCCTGCAGCATCGTGGCTGATAGCAATGGGAGCTCCGAAGTCCCATCAACGGGGAAAAGGGGCAGAGGCTGGCGGTGATTAACTGAAGCCTTTCCCACCAGGAGCTGTTCGATTGCACCTCTTGACCTTCTCTCTTTTTGTTCCCCCCCTAGCAAAGCCCTCGCCCCCGAAGCAGATGGTGGTTTCTGTGTCTGCATCTGAGGAGCTCCACGTGGCATGGAGCCCGCCGGGTGGTGAAACACCGCCCCAGTGCCTGGAGTACGAGGTTCAGCTGGCAGAAGATCAAGGGGAGGCCAAGGCTGCCTGGGCGGTAGGGACAACACGCACTGTGCCGCAGGGAGGAGAAGGGGTGGGGGAGCCCTGCCTGGTGGCCGGCAGCGGGGAGGCACGCTGGAAAATTGGGGTTCGCACCAAGTTGCGGATGCCTTGTTAGCTCCCCTGTGCATGGACTGTGCAAAGACGTTAGCTGATGCTACCGGTGGAAAATGCTGACGGGCTGCTCCATTGCACATGTTCCTACTTAACACCCTGACCTCCAGCCGGAGCATTTGCTTTAGCAGTAACAGATCTCAGCGCGAGTCTCTGAGCGATCGCTTTCTCTGGCCTCCTGCCTGTTATCTTAGAAAGCAGTCATCATGGAAATTTAAAGGTTGTTGTTTGTTTTCCTGAATATGGTGGCACAACTTGGCCCAATGGAACTATAATTCTAATCTCTCCAAAGAATCAGCCTGGGACACAACACGTCCTTTATGCACGGTGCTTTTTCCTTGTGCATTATCCAGGTGCAGTTTTGATCGCAAAAATGGCAAGAAGTAATTAATCATAGGGGACATCTGAAGGACATTTTTTCTTTAATTGCCATATTCTATACATGAGTCGTCTTAGCTAATTTAATGAAAGATTCCATAAATTAAAAGGCATAAACGGCAACATACATGACGGCACCCCCCAGAATGTATGTATTTTCAGTAGATTCATCTCCGTAATCGTCTTATTGGCATTAGCTCGTCCAAAACTATTATGAAATCATTTAAAACTGCCAAAACATAATCCAAGGGTTTGCAGAGCCTGGAGAGTATGTTCAGAAACATCAGGCCATGCCAGAGAGCTACTGGTGGTGGCATGTAATTCCTTGACATTTGTTCTCTGTTTTGTTTCTCAGTCTGTGTCAACCCAAATGGAGACCGCTTTAACGATTTCCAGAGCAAATCAAAGCCGTATTTCATGTGTTCGTGTCAGGGGGAGAACAAATATTTTCTGTGCTGACCAGGGCTTTTGGAGTGAATGGACGCAGGAGTGTTTCTCTGGTATGGAACCCAAAGTGACCAGCATTTCTTTTACATCCTTTATAAAGCCTGTTTGGGACCAAGCACTGATGGCTGCCATGGGCATCTGCTGGTGTCCAGCACTGGAGGTGGGATCCTGGCTTAGTTGTAACTCAACCTACTCCAGCACAGCCATTCCTACAGCTTTGCATCTCCACTGCACTTAGCAGGCAAGCCCCAAAATATTAACACTTCTGCACCAGCACCTTTCCCCGCTGCACAGGGATGGCTGTGATGGAGGAGCGACTGCTTTGCGAGAGGGCATGTGGTACTCGGAGTCTCTCCGCAGGGCATCCTCCTGGCCACCCTGCACCACGGATCAGCTCCGTTGCACCCCGTAGGCTCTATAGGGCTGTCCCCATGTGCACTGCCTCTGCTGTAAGATGCTGAAGGCAGGGAAGAGGCACATAGCAGTGGCTACATAGATATGCAGGATATATGTTACCCTGAAGGAGTGTGTTACCTTATACAGTAACATAGACATGGCATATATCTGAAATAAATGAATAGATAAATAAATAAATAAATAAATAAATGTAAGGTAACGAAGCTGGACACACTGAGTTTGCACCTGAGCCCAAGCTTTGTAAGAGGTAATATGACCTGTTCTGGAAATAGCATTTTCTTATTTGCTGTCATTTATCTTTACAGTGTCCAGAAAAGAGGACAAGCAGCTATTTATCCTTATTCCAGTCATTCTGAGTTTGTCAAGTAGCCTCATAATATGTATATTGATTGGCCAGTGCAAGAAAAGGTAAGCACCAAGGCAACCTGTCCATGCAATGTGCTTTTATGTGGGTGTCTCAGACTACAGTTATAAATGAAATGACATATTAAATACTAAGAGCCAGACATTAATAGATGCTCTAAGATGGGACACCAAACAACAGTTTATTTTCAGGAAACAGCCTTGTAAGTGTGGCTGCTTCTGATATGAAATGCCTTACAACAACCCATAAACTCACAGCAGAGACCCAAATCCTGCTCATAGGAGCCCAGACTGCTTCTGTTAGATGCAGCAAAGTTACTTGCATGCACAGCAGCATAAATAATGCCATTACCTTGCCCCAAACCACTCAGGCAGCAGAGATTTGTACTGGTTGTGTTAAAGAAGTGCCATTTTTATGGGCTAAGGCTTCATTCTCCTTGTGCTCCCGTCTCAGTTGTTTGTGTTCACGTCAATGACGGCATGTGGGGAAAGCAGACGCAGTGGATGAACTTTCCCATATCCAAATTGTTGGTACTGATGATGTTTTCTTCAGCTCTGAAGGATCATTTAGAGAGAACTGATCCCCCGGTACTGATAACTACTATCTTTTCCTTATGGCCATATAGTGTGAGCAAGTGGGTAGCTTTTCTAGGCAGTGATGCCTTTTAAAGCCTCTCCCTCATCACTGATGAGGGACAACTGGCTATAGAAATACTATATATTCGTGTTGTTCTCAGAGATGAACTAACACCTGTTTGGTAGTTGAATGCATGGAGTCTGAGACACACTCTCCTTCATCTTTGTTTTGTATCTGCCTTTCAAATGGTTTGGTTCATGAAATTCGAACAAAGTGTAGATGCTAGCAAGAAAACTGTGGAAAGCAAAGGCTTCCCACATTGCCACTGGGATGCAGTGATGTGTGATGGGAATGCTGTAGTGTGTCCCCAGCTGTCTCTCGGTGCTGGGAATAACAGTCTGTGCTCATTTCAGATCCCCAGCAGGAAAGCCATTGCATGCATCGGTGGGATGCTAACTCTGCTTGCGACTGCTGTACCACTTGTGTTTAATGGACTGCTCTTAGAACATCATCCCAAGGACAGCCGAGAAGCCCTGAGCTTTCTATAGCCCACATGGGTCTTCCCTACCTGCTGCCATTGTGAGGCTGGTTGTTGCAATTCAAGTCCTCAATGGGCCCCGGAAAACATTGGAGGAGTTTTAACCTGACCCTGGAGCAAGCTGTTTCTGATAACAGGACAAGGGAGAAAAAGGAGGCAATGGAAACTGCCATGAATAAAGATAACACGTTGCTATGTGGGTTTGGTTTTGATTTTTTGAGGACTCTAGAAATCTGTCAACAGGACGCACACTGAAGGGCAGCACCTCACACACAACGCTAGGTACAAACGCCTGCATCTAGCCACTGTGCCCCACCTTGCTGTCACCACATCTTCCTAGTCCCCAAATACTCAGCCTACTGAGAGCATCCAAATGCTGAACGTGAGCTACTTGAGCTCTTTAGTTCATTAACTGATATGCCTTATCTGTTGCAAAGCTGAAGTGGGGAGGCCTTGAGAGAAACTTTTGCTGTAAAAAGGCATGATCACAGCTACTGCAAAGGACAGAATCTTCGGAGGAGAAGTGAGCAAAGGCAGTGTGGGAACTTCTCTAGGAAGTGGGCACTGGTACCAGAATTCAGTGAAGCACTCAAGATGTCTCTCAACACCATGTTTTCAGCTGATGAAATCACTGCCTGATTTTTAAGGAACCATTCCCTATGATGATGATAAAAAAAAATTTAAAACATCAGCACTAGATGAGACACTGTCCTCCAAGCCCATTCTGTTTTTTTTTGGTCAAAGAACTAACCAACTCAAACCCAGAGGTTTAGTGTGCTTTCATTTCATCTGAACAACCCTGAAAACATATTTTCTTGCAGGAGCATTTATTCAAAATGGGAATTTCTAGTGAACAGTGGAAGCTCAGAGAGAAAATCAAGTTTGCATCAATCAGCTATGTAAAGAGCCATGCTAAATCTAATCAGGCACAAAACAACACAGCAAGTGCTGTCTTACACATCCAACTGCAAAATTATTCAATCACTATCAGCTGCTTCCACTGCTAAATGGGCAACAACCCAGCATTATTTGGGGAGCAACCAAAGGAGGAAAGCACCAGAAAAAATGGTCTATGCACAGACTGGAGCAGAAATGAAGTTTCCTGGCTGTTGTTACTTTGATGAGACACAGCCTCTGCCTCTACTGTCTCCTGGGGCTTCTGGCCAGCCAGCATGGGATGGCTTTGCATTTAAAAATACCCATGAGCATGCAATGGGCATTGAAATACTGTGTTTTACCTTGATGAATACAGCACATTAGAATTGGAGAGGGGAGCTGGACTTCCAAGGCACTGACCTAACAGAGAAGGTGAAAGGAACCATGAGAGAGGGAAGGGAGCAGGAATAAAGCTGGCTTGGCCCAGAAGCAGCCCCCAGCCCCAGCTCAGGGAGACCTGGCCTGCAGACATCTCCAAAACATGCTCATCAGAGCAATTCAAGGGAATGCATGGTTCATACAACAGGCCAGATGCAGGAGGCTCAGGACAGCATTTCCTCCTCTGTGTGATGGGAGAGAGCAGCTCTTTGCCTAGTGCCCTCCCGCCAGCTGCAGCGTCCCCTTCCTTCCCTCTCTGGTCTCCAGCAGGATTTTTGCAGCGACAAGGGGCACAGACCTACACCACGGCTGCCCCTGGCCAGCACTGCACAGATATTTTGCTCTGACTTGCTCTGGAGGCTGGGCTCCCTGCAGAGCAATGGGCCATCAGGGCAGGGCCATCTCTGGGAGGACCAAGCCTGGATCTCCTGCTCTGCAAGACCAGGATGAGCAGAGATGCTCAGCCAAGTCAGGTACTTTCAGGAATAGAGGACTTTTGCACATCCAGAACTGGATAGCATTTGGGTTATGGGTTTTCAGAACTGCCACCAGGGAAACAGTTACTGCACTAATAATAATGGTTAAAACCAGAAAAAACACTAGAGAAAACTATTGGAAAGAGTCCCACTGAGATTTGCCTTTACTGGAAATAGCTCCTGGTAGGACTCTGATGTTCTGGCCAGCCTCTTAAATTGTTTAAATATCTACTAAAAACACGAGTGTGTTGTGCATCTCCCCAAGGGGAAAAGTGAGGCAGGCAGCTAGAGCCCACCCTGCTGCCCTGGTTACATCTAATAAGATCTCACCCGCTTCACCATGTGGAAACGCCAGGCATCGGCATTTGGAGTGGGCCAAGTGGTGCGGCCACCCCAACCTGCTGGACAAGTTTAAGCTGGATTAAAGTTTCTAGTCTAATTTTGTCCAAAAAGAGGTAAGAAGGGAAGAAGAATTAAAGAGAATGGGCACAGGTAAGAGGTGGCAAAGGAACAGATGTTGTACCTCTGCAGCTAGAACTCACCCCAAAAAAGATCAGAGCTATTTCAGTAACCACAAAATATAAAAGATAGGCTGAAGCCTGCCTAGAAACCTGCCTAGTAACAGAGTGATAAATTAAGTACATCTACTTATGGTATCGGTATGCTGCAGCTTTACAGGAGTGTTTAGGTAAGGCAAGCTGGGCTTGGCCCCAGTGCGGGGTTCCCCGCTCACCAAACTCACCCTTGCAGAGGGTCCTTGCTGCAGCAGCAGCAAGACACCCCCCACCCGCTTTCTCACAGCATCACTTCTGCAGCTTGTGCAAAATTTAATCCTAATAGGTGGCCAGCTGCTAGTCCTTCCTAACATCCTGAACCTTGCTAGAATTTCAGTAGTATGCTTTTTTCCTATGTTTATAGAATTACACTAATTACATATTTCTTTCACACAGTATTTGCATTACAGTGGTTTAATTCACTTGCTGTAGTCCATAATTAATATTTTCAGTAAAGCGCTTTCAAAATCCCTCCTTTGGCATACTCTGCTCTTATTGTTCCCAGCTCATGTCTGGATTCCCCGGTGTTTTTACCATCTTAGCCCCACATGTCTTGTGAGGCATGTCTTTTTGCCAAACATACAAAGAGAACTCCTTTGCATAACCTCGAGTTTAGGGTCTTTTTTCTGCCTTTGACTGATAAAGTCTTAGAGCCATTTGTTGAAGAATAAAAAGCAACCTCTCCTATAGAGTTTTTTTCCCTAGAGAATGTCAAGATTTGTCAAACATATGAAAGCACGATCCTGTGCATGCTGCAGGGAAATGCAAAATCAATTTGCGTCTGTCATATTCTAACTGCTTTTGGGAAGCAGCAAAACAGGGAAGGTGAATGCCAAGGTCTCTGAGCTCACAAAATTGCTCTCCTTCTCTCACTGAGGTCTATTTTCAAGCTGCCAACAAGTAAGTAATTTGAAAACCAGTTTACCTTCTGTTTCCTCATTATCCATCCTCATATTTTCTCATTTTTCTGACTGGCCTCTGAATACAAGATTTTGAAGTGTTTCAACCACTATAACCTGCCAATGGCTGAAAGACATAAAGCAAGGCTGGCATCTCTCAGGAGCTCCTTACTCCTCTTGCACTTGAGGAAATGAAAAGGTAGAAGTATCTCACCAGCTGAGGCATCTCTGCTGAAGTTTTCCATCTCGTACACACGCTAGAAACTCCATGGCCACTGGGTGTCAGCATCTGTGTTAGGACGCAGAGGAGGAGGAAAACAGGTGCAGCATGGTTTTCGCCAGAATTCAGTATTTAGTGCATGAAAATTCAATAGAGGGGACAATGGCTCTCTCGCTGTAAGACAGATGAGTTTTATTCTTTTTGCACTGCTAAGTGGAGAAGTGTCACACCTTCGCTCCGTCATTCAGCGCTGGGCTGACTGCTGGGTAACATTGCCCCTTGTGCCTCGTGGCATTGTGACCATGGCCCAGCGCTGCTGCTCTGACTGGAGCTGTGTCTCCCATGGCATGTGCCAGCCAAAACCAGCCCCTGCCCTCCATCCCACGTTCGTGCCACTGAGCACCCACAGAAATACCCCATTGGCTCAAACTGGAGGCTCGGCCGAGCAGGGACTGCACCCCACTCTGTGTCCCTGTCTCAGTCTGGCCTCAGCTCCTGCATCCATCCCCGAGCCACCATGGGTCTGAGCACCCATCCCAGAGCCTCTGCAGGTCTCAACACCCATCCCGGAGCCTCTGCAGCTCTAGGTAGTACCTAGATCTTGAAAGGACATAAAGCAGCACAGCCCTTTTGGCTTCAGCTGCCAGATGTTGAGGCTTTGGGAGTGCAGTAACTAATGATATAATCTAAAATCTAAAGAGCTTCATGGGCCATAGCAGGGTTGCAGCTCACTGCCTTGTGCGGCAGGGTACATTTGAGAGCACTGTCAAGCTCTTTATGTCTATGTAGAAGCTGAATTTTCTCAGGAGGGTCTGTGGTTCTCATAGCTTCAAGGAAAACAAGTACAGCTGATGCATGTGCTTAACAAAACAATTTGAGGCAACATATTGTGGCTGAGCTGTCTGAACAGCTGAAACAGCTCTGCAGACCGTCTGTGTCAAGATCCTTTTCCCGGAGTACAGAGAGATAAAACAACCAGCTGAGAAATGGCGGCCACCACAAGGTTTGCACCAAAACCGAGTATTTGCCTCCCTGCCATCCTGGGCTGCTTGCCCCCTGTATCAGATCCCTGTGCAGACATACCACAGGACTGCTCTGCTCAGGAAATAAAATGCCATTTCAGCAAGTGTTATGCCACCAGACACATTTAAAAAAAAAAAAGAAAACTAAGTTAAAAATCCTAAACATGGCCTTGACGTTTCCTTTTCTGATGGATCTGCCCAAGAAACAACCTCAGTGTTTCAACAGGTCTTACTCCACGGAGAGCTGAGTACAGGCACAGCCTTAAGCATGGAGACTCGACAGGCACGGTGGCAGCCCTGCTGCGGTCCCTGACAATGCGTGCACCCATCTCCAACAGCAAGGAGAGCCCGCGCAGCACCTTGGCCTTCTCTGAGACACTGAATTAGGCTGCATCGCCCTGCCTTCGCTGGAAGGTGTGAAAGGTCACCCCAG